ACACACACACACACACACACACACACACGAGCCAGGATCGCGTTTCGTAACTTGTGGGCCGTGGATCGCGCATGTTTTTACGTGGTCTCAAAACAAAGAGGGGGAAGTCAAGTGGGTGACCTTCACCCCAGTAGGCGGTGAAGGTCAGTCATGACGACTATTTTGTTATGCGGTGGTACAGCGAGATAACAACGACCCGGCAGCGCAGTGCACTCGGATAGGTGCGGTGTAGTTTCTCGGGGTGCCCATTAGCACGATCGGGTCAGGTCGAGTCGGTTTGCTAGCCAGAATTAGGGCGCAGATACGGGGTGCCCATTGGGGGATCGAGTCGGGCCGGGTCGGTTTGCCAGCAGGATTGAGGGCGCAAAGCGCGACTATTGTGGCCCAAGCGGATCGCGCCCGACTCGTCGCCTCAAGAACAAGCACTTGTTTTCAGGCGACGAGTCGGGAAGTCGACCCAACCCGACCCGACCCGATGCCATCCGTTTTGGGCACTCTTTCGCAAGATCGGTTCGTTTCAGTTTGTTCCTCTGAGCTAGCCAGATTTTCCTCCATCGTGGCACGAACCGGACGAAACCGACGATAATCTTCAAGATCAAACGTGTGTATTTGTTTTCAAGGCCGCGAGTCGGGCGATCGGTTTGAGGTGTGTGTGGATGGCGGGTGCTCTGGTGTGGTCTGCTCCTTCTTTCCTGTCAAACATCTGTCGTCTTTGTCTCTCCTTCTTTTTTGTGTTTGTTACTCTCTTGTAACTCCTCTAATCTTCGGCACTTAAATGGCTAGAGCTCTCGTGGCCGAGAGGTTAAGATGTTCGCCTCTCTTTCAAAGGTCCCGGGTTCAAATCCGGGGAGCGACGGAAACAATTTCTTCTCTAAAATTGTCTCCTTTCACCTCTTCCTGCTCTCTAGCAATGTTCTGTCGTCTGCTTTCCTCTCCACTTTCTGCCCCCATCCCATCCCCTCCTTTGTTTGCCCCCTCTTCTGGGCTCCTGAATCTGCAGCCTTTCTACCGCTACTCCTTGGCCCCTTCTTACTGCTGTCTTTCAGTCTCACCCCTGATCTTCTGGTTGAAAAGATCTACTCGTAGCCTTTTCGGATAAGGGCGAAAAATCTCGGAGATCCCGTGTGCAAGTTGCCTACGTTAAAGATCCCTTGGTAGTTTAAAATCGATAAGAGTAGACTTCGGCCGCCACCCGGGCAAAATTCGAAATTTCCTTCCAACTGAAAATGTTAAATGTGTCCGCGCGCTCATATGACCTTATGCAGTTGCGAGCGCCGTAAAACACTTACCAGAAAACCCCCCAACTTAAACGGCCTGATTGTGTTGCAAGTGCCGTGAAACACTTACTAAAACAAATCGGGAGGCAGGGGTCTATTTATTGTGTGCATTGAAGCAGCCAGCAACATAACCGAACCGATCCGATCCTCCAATGGGCACCGCCTCTAAAACCTCCTCGACTTCTCTTATGTCAGGGCGGGTGGTTGGAGGTTAGAGGACGCGGTGCTTGCACGCGGGTGGTTGGAGGGTGCTCCGGCTGGTGTGGTTTGCTCCTTCTTTTCTATCAAACATTTATCGTCCTTATCTCTCCTCCGTCTTTTTTTGTTTTTTGTTAGTGTGTTTGTTACCTCTCTCGTCACACCTCTTGCCTCGGTCTTACTTCTGTACTTTCCGTTTGTTGTTTCTGTCTGTCCTTTTTGTCTTATCAACGATAGCGGATGGTTGGCGGGTGCTCTGATGTGGTGTGCTTCTTCTTTCCTATCAAACATCTATCATCCTGATCTCTCTTCCTTCCTTTTTTTTTCCTTCTTTGTTTTGTTTGTTTTACTCATGTAGCAGCCCTACGCTTCGGGGCACGTATATGACCGTATTGTTTTGTAAAGTCATCGTAACGTGTAATGACTTAAATACAGTGATTCGTTTTTTCGTTCGATTCGGGTACGTTTGTCGAATGGCGTCATTGTCGGCTGACTTAAAGTCTAAGAAGTGCTACTGACTGAAGTGTCTTTAGACCATTCTCAAAGGGGGGGGGGGGGGTTTATTAAGTTTTAACATGTTCCTATGCACAGTAGAATTGTAAATGGCCTGATTTATCAATGTCATGCTCATACTGTGCCGGAAAGTATAGGGGGAACTGCTGCTTTTTCTTTCCTCATCCTTACTATCGTCTCTTTTCTTCTACTTTTTTTGGTATGTTTGTCACTCTCTTGTGAACTGCTATTTCCAGGGTGCCTTGATAGTCGAAGCAGACTTTGTGCTGTTGAGGCTAGACAGGGGAGCAGAGCAAGCCTGATTCACCTTTGGACTTCTCTGTTGACATCCACCCCTTCGCTGTCACATGACCTTATGCCGTTACGAGTGCCGCAAAACTGCGGCAAAACCTTACTGAAACAAACAAAAAGACCTGCATATTTAGCGCCAGGCATGCCGATTGTTCTTCTTATTTCCCTGAT